TTCGGATGATTTTCTAAATGATTGTGTCATTTGTGCGGTTGAAAGAGAAGGATTTTCAAAGATTACAAATGAAAATTTTATCAAACGTTTCTTAGCTATGTGTCCTCGTAGATTTCAAGTGTAAAATGACATTTAGTTGAAGGTTTTAATGTTATTATACTTTTTCGTAAAAAAAAATTATTATTAATTTCAATTGGTCAACGATCAACTATGCACCCACTCAACTTCCGGACTGGATCCGCCACTGCTTCCAACTGTGCGTCTATACATTAAAAACATGTATTGTCGAAAACCATTTCAGTTTACACGCCAACTACAACACGTGTCAGGTAACATTAAAACAAAATTTCAAATACCAACTATAAATACAGTTTTAGACAACAAACAAAAACATACTCGTCACAAAACTTCCACAAAATAAACATCCACACCGTCATGAAGGCCTGTGATGTTCACCATATGATCAAGACAATCACCCGTCACAAAATACAAACAACAACACCATTCGCACGCTTAAACGCAAGCTTAAAGCAGGAAAGAGCTATGAAAGAAACTCTAGCAAAAACGTTAACCGAAAAGCTTCACTTCCTCAACTACGCAATTTCAGCGGAAATCCTCAACAAGGAAGATGATTTCGACACAAAGCAACGAAGATAATTGCAGCATTTGGAAGAAGAAATGAATGAAAGCACGCCATACTAAACAAAGTTCCAGGCAACCTTCCCGTTAACTAAATCCATTGTTTACGTTATTATGCCATGATTAAAAAAGGTGTTCCTTTCGCTGTCCATTATCTTTGTTATCTTCTATTAATGTCACACCAAATGTTTTCCACTTACATTACATTTAATTCTTTATTATCTTATATTTAAAACGTCAATACTTCAAAATAATTTACAAAAAATGATTGATAATCTGAAACGGCGCCCATATGTTACGTCTAATAACTTTTTCTTATACCTAATTACCTTACATTAAAACGTCCCTACATTACATGCGCAAAATACATTTCAGAAATCGATTCATAATCTGAAACGCCGGCCATAAGTTACATCATACATCATCATGACCTTGAAAACTAACACTTGCATTAAACATCCAACAACCGTATTAAATAGGAAGATGCATATTTAAAAACCATCGCTGTCCTTCAAGATCCTTAAACTACTATCATCCGCAAAACAGATACGCCTTACAAGACAAAAATGAAACCCCAAAAAATGGAAATCATCATCAACAACCTCATCGCCCATTACGAAGCAGAAAAATTATCACTGATGAACATGGAAGAGGAAACTTTGGAGCACCAAAACTACAAGAAGTAACTCATCGAGCAGATGGACGCCAAACCATCATATGATAACTACCTGAAGATGTGCAGCAAGTTTTATTTGACAACAATTATGAAAGCGCAAAACTGCTGAAGGCCATGCACGAGATGAAAAAGAAATATGAAACTCTTATTGAAAATCTCAAAAAGGAGGTCAAAAACCTCCCTGACGACAAACATCCTTACTTCTAATATGTTTGTTTGTTTGATGGCTTTGACTTTAAATAATCTTTTGCTGTGTCAAAAAATCTTCCTTTTGTAGTTCTTTGTATGTAAGTGGTATGAAGACCACTTCTCTATATCTGATATGTTTGCATTAATATAATACTATATTCTACTACTTCGTGCAACTTCAAATAAGTTAAAAAAAAAGGGACGCAGAAAACCTCACTGACAGCAAACGTTCGTAGTTCTAATATGTTTGCTTCATTGATGCCTTTTGCTTTAAATAATCTTCTGTGTGATTCTTTGTACGTAACTCCTAAAAAGACCACTTTTAGCACAGCGATTCCCCACTAGTTGGGATTGAAGAAGAATACCACTACAAAAACAATCGAGTTTAATGCCATGAAAGTCTTAGAAACAATTGAGTTTTTTATGGTTTAATCTTTTAAAATATTATTATTGTTTTTTATGTTGGAATTTTTGTTTCAGTTTACTTACTGAATGTGCAGAAGGTTTGTGCCCATCAAAATTATGTCATCTGATGTGTGATAAAAAAAATATCAATCTAAACAAGGGACAGGTTAAGACGCGTGCTAAAACAGAAAAAACAAAACACTTAAAAATCAATCAGGTTAACCGTAAACATAGAGTTTTTTCTTAATTTTTTTTATAAAGTTTGATGTTTTTTAATGTTTATTGTAAGTTGAATATAAAATTAGACTGGGACTACTGATGATATTGCTTCGGAGGTTCTATTGAAGGAGGGTTATTCATTGGAATTAATGTGATTTGTTAGTAGTCTATCAATATTTCTTTAAATAAAATATAATAACATTTTCATATAAAATATAAAATAAGATTATTATTTGATTGTTACTCTTTTTCAGGTGGTCTCTTGGTGTTATTATGTGCGAAATATTTGTGCTTTATCCACATTTCTACTCATATGATCCAACGAAAACTTGTAGGAATCCACATATTTAAGAGACCCTTCGGAATCTACATATTTAAGAAACACTTATGCTTCGTTCATTAAATGAACTTACTTTTTTACTTTTTGTCACACTATGTTTCAAAAAATAGTTATAGAATTTGGTTTAGATAAATTTTTACATTTTCCTATTCAGTAAGATTGAATTAAACTCCCATATGCTTGGAAAGCTAGGATTTAGGTGGAATATGATAGTTAATCAACATAAGTTTTATTATTAGTATTG